CTGCTCGCCTGTTCAGCATGTTCACGTAGCAAGCTCGGAACCTCATTGCCATGCCTGCCTTGTGCGAGTGTGTGGGTCGAAACCCATCCAGGCCTGCTTCGTGCGAGAGTGAGAGTCGAAACCCCTGAACCCCTAAACCCTAAACCGCTAAACCCCTAGAACCCTAAACCCCTAAAGCACTAAACCCCTAAAGACCTAAACACCTACACCCCTAAACCCACTCAGGTTCGGCAAGCTACAGGAGCGAAGCGACCTGTCGCTGAGCGATCTGAAGTACCCCAGTGGCACTTTGAGGGTTTGTGGTTTAGGGTTTAGGGATCAGTGCACTGTGCGCAGCAGCCCCTGCTCCAAAAAGGGGTTTAGGGTCTGGGGCTTCGGGTTTGGAGAATTGTTTCAACAATTTCCCGTCTGCTCTATTGAGGTAGCTATTCATGAATACTTTGGGGGAGCCCTTAAATTTAAACTTACACAACCCCGGTATGGCCTATAAAAATATTCTACCGTTTTCAGGAGTTCACCTCAAATCATGTCGGGGATTCCTGGGTAGTTTGAGGTATCTTCGATTGTTGAGTTTTGTTAGGGCATACTTTGCAAAGCATAACAAGGATCCCTGTGGAGCTGACTGTCCAGCTGAAGGTAATATAGGGGCCTAGATAAGTACCTACTTTGTTTTGGGGGCTCCTACTCATAATTATCATGTAATGGGCCCCAAAACCCATTAAGCCCCCTCACCCTGTTCCTGAATTGGCGGCTGTGGGGCTCTCCGCGACTGCCGCATGAAACAAACCCTCACGAGCCGGGGTAAAGACCAGACCGGTGGAAAGCTTATTCCCCAAGGCCCAACCTGTAAACTTTTTGGGTTCTTATAGTTTAGTAGTAATCTGAAAGTTTAGGCTTCTATTTCCCTAGCTTATTGGCGAAGTAAGAAAACCTGTTGAACAAAGAATTCTATCAAGACTCAGGACTCAAAACCATCTGAGCCCCTAGTACCAACACCGCCAAAAGCCCAAACCCTAAAGCCCTTTCAAGCCCTAAGGGCTTTTGAGCCTTCTTGGGCAAACCCAGGTATCCCTAAACCCCGAAAGCCTAAACCCCAAAACGCAACGCACGATTTAGGGTTTAGGGTGTAGGGTTCTAAGTTCCTCAGTCGCATGCTCGGAAGCTGGAAGCACTGTCACGAGTACAGTGTTAGCTGGCGGAACAGTGGCTAGCTACCAGGCGCTCTTGCTTGCAAGCCTGCAGCAAAAGGCTGTAGGGTTCAGGGTTTAGTTTGAACCGTGCCAACTTGTCGACCTTGCCATGCGGGCTCGTCTATGCGAAGTAGGAGGCGCAAGAAGGTTTCAATGCCCTGAAGCCAATAACCCTATAACTATAGGCCTTAAACCGTTTAAACCCGTAAAGCCCATAAGCCCTGAACCCCAAAACCCTAGCCTTGACTGCCATGTGCGGGCTGCGAGAGTTGAAAGCCCTGCAAGCCGTAAACCATATAGGCCTTGTAAGTCGCACACACTCTCCACTTGGAGGTTCATGGGCATTTATAAGTATGGTTTTAAGTCCCTTAACCTGGGTTGTAATTAAAGTTACCCTACTTCTAACCCCATTTATAATTACCCATGAACCTCCAAGCATAGCCCTAAACCCTACAGGTCCTACAAAAGTCCCACAGAAAGACTGTCACCAAATATGCTATACGATAAAATGCTATACTATAGTATAATAGTATGATGCAACATAGCATAACATAACATAACATAACATAACATAACATAACATAACATCACAACATAGTATAATATTCTAATGTATCCCCCATCATGCTATACTATACAGTACGATACTATACTACACTATGCTATACTACTCCATGCTGTAGCACGATATCAACATACCCCATACTATAATCAACCAAAAGATACACGATGCCTAAACCCTAAGCCTTAACCCTAAACCCTATAATAAGCCAAAAGATACACGATCCCTAAACCCTAAACCTTAAGCATAGACCCAGGCAAGAAAAAACAAAAAAAAAAACTAAACCCTTAGCCCTAAACCCTAAAAAACAAAACCCTTAGCCCTAAACCCAGGTATTGCATCTTCGGCCTCGGTGATTCGCACTACTGGGGCAAGGGCACGGAGGAGTCCAAGTTCAACTTTGCCAAGCCCTCAGTGAGCGATGGGAACCCCTATAGAGTTTAGGGTTTAGGGTTTAGGGTTCGGTTGATGGACAAAATCCTGCATGACCTTATATACCTAAACTATGGGATTTATGGTACTCTACTACAATTTGGGTCATGCAGAAGTTTGTCCATCAACAGCAGTAACCCTTAAAGGGGTCAGTGATCTACAAAGGGAAGTAAAAGAAACAGAGTTGGGAGTTCGAGTTTTGCGGTTTAGGGGTTGAGGGTGTAGCTGGTTTGGCTGAAGGTGCACTGCTTCCAAGGTCCCACAGGTTCTTAAGGCCGGCCAGAAGGGGCCTTATGAACTAGAAGAGGGTTTGGGGTATCTTACACTGTAATTATAATAAGGAACCCCAAAGCCCTATTTTACTTATTAAGGCCCCTACATTAATGCACATTACTTGGAGGTTCATGGGTATTTATAAGTGGGGTTCTAAGTAAGGTAACTATAGTTATAACCCAACTTAGGGGACTTATAATCATACTTATAACTACCCATGAACCTCCAAGTACAGGGTAGATCACTGAGGCCAAGCCGGCCCGTGACCTCGATGATCTTCTTGAGAAGATGGGAGCGCAGCGCATGATGCCCACAGGCTTCGGTGATGACCAGGACCCCAGGGTTTAGGGTTTAGGATTTAGGATTTAGGGTTTAGGGTTTAGGGTTTAGGGTTAGGACACAGACGGGAGTTTCCGAAAATAAGGGATACCTTATTTTGGGCTCCTTATAATAAGGATCCTACTATTTAGGGTACTATGTCAGGGTCCCCTATTCTCGGAAACCCCAAGACCGTCCACAGCCACAGACCTCACAGACCAATATCAGTATAAGCATAAGGTTATGGTTTCGGGTTTCGGCTACATTTGCCAACATCATCCCCATGATAGTCCCCGGCATATCTACTCGATAGCTTATGAACAGGACACAGACCAGTACCACACTGGCTTCGCCGAGTGGAAGGGCCAGCTTTTCTCCCGACTCGGTGTTGACAAGGCCGATGCGGCCGGTGGCGGCGATGATGGCCCAGTGAAGACAGATGAGCAGATCAAGGTTGAGACCAAGCAGCTGCGTGGTAGCATGAAGGAGAGTCTGGACGATGTCACTACGGGCCAGATCCCGTTCCAGGACACCAAGCTCATCAAGTCTCATGGAAGCTACCAGCAGGATGACCGTGATCTTCGCGAAGAGCGTCAGAAGATGGGTGTCGAGAATGCATTCTCCTTCATGATCCGCATCCGCCTTCCAGGTGGCTTCTGCACTGCCGAGCAGTGGATTGCCATGGATGACATTTGCCAAAACTTCGCCAATGGCACATTGAAGATCACCACCCGGCAGACGTGGCAGGTGCACGGGGTCTTGAAGCGCAACGTGAAGGCCACGATGCGCGCCACTAGGTGGCAGTTTTGGATCTCTTTCCCCGATGACCTGTGCAGAAGTGTCTGTTTACTGCACATGTATGTTCGGATAATCCTCTTATCCCTGATGCACTATTTTTTATGCGTTTGTTCATGTTATATAATCGGGAGCCCTTACGACTACAACCCAACACGTCATTCGTGACATTCGCGGGCATATGTGTTCGTGTATAGTGTGTGTGTGTGTATGTATATCTATATATATAATATAATATATATATATATATATGTACCTATATATATATATATACATACATGCTTACTTCCTTACTATTTGTAGTGGCCGGTAAAACCTGGAGCCCAGGCCATGAACAAGGCCTGCATGGACACCTTGGCTGCCTGCGGCGATGTTTGCCGCAACGTGCTCTGCACCTCCCGGCCGGACGTCTGCTCAAAGGAGCTCCATGCATCTGGGTGGCACGTTGGGATGCCTTGGTTGTGTGTTCCTTTAAGAAGGAAAGGGTTCCGTATAAAGGGGCTTCAACAAATTAGCACTGTAGGGGTTTCGTATGCTAAACTGTCAGGTGGCATAGGATGAAATGCAGCTAGGTAGCACCTTGGAGGTTAGGTTTAGCGTCCGGAAGGCACTTGCTAGCATCCACGCAGACCAGATGCAAAAGAAGGAGCACTTTGGGATGCGATTCCCTTGCAGGTTTAGGCTTCTGCAGAACTCTTTAGTTTAAAGTTCTCACTAAACTACAGCCTTGCAGTCTCCCTAAGCCCGAAACCCGCCTGGACCAACCTCGCCTGCATTGCCGGAGAGTCCAAACCCGCCTGACTTGTCCGAGTTGTGAGAGTGTTAACCCTATTCAAAGACGACTTTGGGTCCCTTTGGAGTTAGAGCAACCCAGGCAGAGATCTTGCATTATACCTACGAGATCCACGATCACTGCTTGCCCCGATCCGGCGCCTATCATGAGATCTTCCTCATGCAGGGGCCAGAGATGGCGGAGAAGATTCAGATTATGGGCTCCTAGGTCTCTCCCGGAGGGGTTTAGGGTTCAGGTACCCCTTCTCTTTCGGTTTTGGGCTTCCAGGCTCAATTTTGAATGAAAGGGCAAAGGGAACAGTTCGGTTAAGGGGATCCTGCGAAGCAAGGTTCCTTGCCGGTGGAGGAGGAGCCTTTGTATGGACTCACCTACTTGCCGCGAAAGTTCAAGGTCGCTGTGGCCATCCCTCCCAGCAACGACGTGGACCTCTTCGCCCACTGCGCAGGCTTCATCGCCATCATTCAGAACGGCAAGCTGCTCGGCTTCAACGTGGCAGTTGGTGGTGGCCTTGGATTCACCCATAATAACCAGAAGACTCATCCTCGCCTTGCGGACGTTATCGGCTTCTGCAAGCCGGGCGATGCGAAGTACGTCTGCGAGTGCATCCTCACGGTCGCCCGTGACTTCGGAGATCGTACCGGCCGAAAGCATGCGCGAGTCAAGTACACTGTGGAGGACCTGCTTCCTAGCTGCTAACGCTGAACACCACACACACATAGTTGCAGGCCCTACAAAGCCCATCTTTGAAAAGGCCATGGACATAGAGTAAAGTCTCATAGACCGGAAACCCTATACACAACGCTCAGAAAGTTCACCGCAGGACTATGGCCCAGAGTGGTTCAAGGAGCAGGTCGAGGATCGCCTTGGGTTCAAGCTTGAAACCGCCAAGCCTTACAAGCCGGAGCCTGAGTTTCGGTTTCGTTGAGGTGGGGATTTTGGGGTTAGGTTTGGGGTTTAGGGATTAGGGATGTGGGTTTAGGGGTTTACAACATTCAGGCGATTGCACAAGTCCTGATGCAAGAAAGGGGCTTACGGTTTAGGGTTAGTTGGGGATGGGGCAGAGAGTCCAGCTTCAGAAAGTGCTGGGGATGGCTGGGGGGCATGGCTCGACTTGAGCCCGGTGGGAAAAAGGGTTGGGAAAAGGCGTTGTGAGCTACTTCCTTGTGTTTGAGGTACTTGTTCCAAGATGCCTGAACACCCTGTTTTAGAGGTCCGAAGAGGGCGATAGTTGGTGTAGAGAAGTCGTACAGGGTGCCGTATAGCGTTTAGGGTTTAGTTCGTGCTCCTCTTGTGGCTGGTTTGGGGAAGGTCCCATAAGGGAAGGATTTCGGGTTTAATATAGAGGCTTAAGTCATTTCCTACGTTATTCCTTAGGGCTCCCGATTATAATTGTAGTATAAGGGAGCCCAAAACCCTATTCTGGCTAATAGGGCCCCTACATTAGGGTTTAAGATATGTTAGCGCTGCTTGTTTACACATGCGATGTTGTTGTTGAAAAGGGTTTCTGTTGGGATGTTGATAGGGTGCCCTTATCTTTAGGCCCCGTGAGGAAAACTAAGGCCAACCGTGAGAGGGTACTAAGTATAGATAACTACAGGCTTTACGCTAGTCCGGGGTGCTTGTTAAATGGGAGAGAGGAGGCTGTGGGGCCGATGTTTCTGCATATCGGTATGTTGCGGAGTTTGGTGCGCTTCTAGTCTGTTTGAGTGGGCGTGTTGTTCAAAAACCAGCAACAAGGCTAACCTAAACTCCTAGATCCGAAGCCCTGAACCCAAAACTCCTAGATCCGAAGCCCTGAACCCTGAACCCCTCAGCTTTCGTCAGACCCTAAACCCTAAAACCCCTAAACCCTAAAACCCCTAAACCCTAAAACCCCTAAACCCTAGAACTAAGGATTGAGCACCGTGGCGACCTGCATGGCTGGGTGAAAGCCAGCGATGGCACCTGGAGCTGCGGCCTCCTTGTCCCTTCGTAGCTGAGTTTAGTAGAGCTTTAGGGGTTTAGGGCTTTGAGTTTAGTAAAGCTTTAGGGGTTTAGGACTTTGGGGTTTTAGTAAAGCTTTAGGGTTTTGGGGTTTTAGGGTTTAGGGCTTAGGGTTTAGGGTTTAGTGTTCAGTGAAGTTAGGGTTTAGGGTTTAAGGTTTAGGGTTTAGGGAGTTTAGTCTAAGGTTGAACCCTAACATGGGCCCTTAGGGGATTCTAGGGTCCCTTAAGGGTATATATAGGGCAATATAGGGTATATAGTAGGTATATTAGGGTCCCAGGGTTAAGGGCCCATACTAGGGGCCCACGGGTTCTACCTTAGATTTAGTAAAGCTTTAGGGGTTTAGGACTTTGGGGTTTTAGGGTTTAGGGCTTAGGGTTTAGGGTTCAGTAAAGTTAGGGTTTAGGGTTTGAGGCTTAGGGTTTAGGGTTTAGTAAAGTTTTAGAGTTTAGGGTTCAGTAAAGCTGTAGGGTTGCGATTATGGGGCATAGTGCCACACAACACTCGTTCCATAAGCCTGAAAATCGAAAACTTGGGCAACTGAAACTTGGGACTTTTCTGGCCTATGCCCCTCAACCCCTAAACCCTAAAACCCTAGACCCTAAACCCCTAAACCCCTAAACCCCCCTAAACCCCGAAACCCCCACACCCCTAAACCCCTAAATCCCTAAACCCCTAAACCCCAAACCCCTAAAACAAAAAAATCCTAACACCACCTAAGACAAAAACAGCCTAACCCCTAAAACAAAAAAACCTAAGCTAAACCCTAAACCCCGAAGCCCTGGGGATCTCAGGTGCCCATTGGGCGGGTCAAGGAGAGCACACGCGTGTGCATCCGGAAGATTGCCGAAGAGCTCTCGGGCAAGGAGAGACACCGAGTGCTCCTCTTTTTGTAGTTAGTGTTGACGGGCCTAAACAGATCCTATCTTTTCGCTTTGGGATCTAGGGGTTTAGAGTTTAGGGTCTAGGGTTTAGGGTTTAAGGATGAGGGTTTAGGGTTTTTTGTAGTTAGGGTTCAGGGGCCTCAATAAGCACCTATACTAGTTGTTGTGGGCTCCTTTTTTTTTATGGTAGAATATACCCCAAAACCCTATTGTAATTATTAAGGCGTTTATAGTTAGGGTTTAGGGTTTGGGCTTGTAGGTCCCCTAAACCTTAAAACTCTCGACCCTAAGCTGCGCATGAGGGGGTTTAAGGGCTCTTTCCGAAAGGTCTATACAGTCGTGGCTTAGGGTAAGGGGTCGGCCTAGGTATGGTGTATCCGGTAAATATGGGACTTTCCAAAAATAGGGGGTACCTTATTTTGGGGTCCTTATAATAAGGATCCTATTATTTAGGGTACTATATTAGGGTCCCCTATTTTCGGAAACCCCCATTGCAGTTATCCCTTGAACACTAAGCCGTAGACCCTGTGAGGAGAAGGGCGGTTTCCGTATGACGTGCAACCAGTCCCTGGTTCTGGAGAACATCTCGGAGGTCAAGAGGGTTCGGGGTTTAAGGGTGTAGGGCTAAGCCCTAAACTAAACTAAACACGGCTTGAGGAAAGTTGATAGGGTTTTAGGGCTTAGGCTTCCCGCAGGCCAAGAGGCCAATCATCCAGAAGCTTCTCGATGAGTACCAGGTGATGCACAGCCAGGACCACCTGAACCCTGAACAGTGGATCCTATTTAGAGTTTCTTATGGTGAAAATCCTGCACGTTTAGTTAGGGATCCGTAAAAATATTTCCTACATATTTAGGACTCCTTATCATGATGTCTTTATGTTATACAAGTCCTTACGAGGGTAGGTTTACAGGGATTCAGGTACTTGGAGTAGGGACCAACAGATTTAAGTACATACGCAAGAAATGCTTAAAGCCGCCTTTATAGTTAGCTTGCTTGCTGTGCCCTTAGAGTTACAGGAGACCACCGTGAGTGGCCTGCGCCGCAACATGGTGGCTTGCGTCGCCTTACCAACCTGCCCGCTGGCCTTCGCTGAAGCAGAACCTTGGCAGGTATCGGAAATAAGAAACGACACTTTTGGGTTAATGGGTGTACCCTCCATCTGGACAAGCCAGATGGGTAGTTCTCCAAATTAGGATCCCTATTTAGGTCCCCAAAACGGTACGGCATCCTTATAGACAGGGCCCAAAAAGGGACCTTACTTCCAGATTGCGAGATGTTCTGAAGACCGTAAACCCCGAAACCCTAAACCCCTAATCGCAATAAAAATCCCTAAGCCCTAAGCCCTAAACCCTAAACCCTTAACCTGACACGGCCCTAGGAGCGATATTTGCCGACCCTCGTGGAGCGCTTGGAGGCCGTGGCGGACAAGGTTGGCCTGGGACAGGCCGGGGCCAAGTAATGTAGGGCCTGTAGGGTTCAGGGTTTAGGGGCCGTAAATTTTTACCAATACTACTTCGGGGGGTTTCCTTATTATAATCGGGTATGATACACTCCAGAACCCTTTTCGTAATTACCTATATACTATTTTGGGGATTCCTTGTTACAAGTCTAGTATAATGGCCGAAAACCCTATTCTACATTAGAGAAGTCAGTCGCAATAAAAAATGCAGCAAGAACGGCCTGGAGTGTCAGTCGTACGAACGGAAGTAAGGATGATGTGTGTGACCAGCGTAGTGCTTTACTTGCAAGTATTAGTTATTAGTAGAAGGAGCCGTAGCAGCAGTTGTTGTCCCCGGCGCCGGACCAGGAAGACATTGTCATCCGCATGACCGGCTGCCCGAACTCTTGCGGCAGGCCTTCGATGGCCGAGATCGGCTTCATTGGAAAGGCACCAGGCACCTACAACATGTACCTAGGTGCTGACTTTGTGGGCCAGCGCTTGAACACCCTTTTCGCGGAGTCCGTGAACGAGGACCAGATCATCCAGATCCTCACCCCGATCTTTGGCCGCTTCGCACAGGAGCGACAGAAAGGAGAGAAGTTTGGTGACTTCCTGATCCGCACGAAGATCGTGAAGCCAATGAACAATGGTCGTGATTGGTGGACCACGCCCGAGGTCTGAAGTGAACGTGCTCTGGCTGTCCAGAGCCACAAGCATAGAGTTGTATAGCAAAGATGTCATCGCAGTTTTGATTTCTTACCCTCTTCGGTGGAGAGCATCATGCTCTCCCTAATCCTGCTTTCACGTAGTCCTCTTGAAACTAACTGCTTCCAATCTCTGTGGAGGCGAGATGAGGTCCCAGATCTCGTGTCGCTTCCAGGCTAGGCTGTCTTCTAGCCTAATCCTCAGCACAGGGGGCGGCTGACCTGGATCCTTGTGACGCAAACACCTTTCAGTCAAGAGTCGTCGTTCGCTTCGCCTGTCAGCGGACAGCTGCCGCCAGTGCACAGTGCTCAAGTGCTGTCGCGCTTGAGACTCGGACGTAAACAAAAAGCCCAACAGCTGAGCGAACTGGCCACTGCGCCAGGAAACTGATTTCTGAAGAGCACCACAGCGAGTAGTTTTGAGAGGAACTTCATCGGTTTGTCCTTTGGGCGCGCTCAGCGGCATAGTGTGATGGTGGTCCGGAGATGTCGTTCAAGCGACGGGACCAGCATGGATTTTCCATGAAACCTCCGCGGTGCAGCACCACGCCAGGTGAAAAAGTGCCCCTTGCCCAGCAAATGCTCGAACCTACTATAGGGGCTTAATATTTACCACTACTGTTTTGGTGTTCCTGATTATATTTATAGTACAGCGGACCCCAAAACCCTATTCTAATAACTCAGGCCCCTATATTACTTGCAGCGTGGAGATCCCACAGCTGAGACTTCGCTATGTTAGGGATATGGGCCGCGTGTGGGAGAGAAACTTATGGGCTCTGGTAGGGAACCCTGAATCAAAAAGCAGGACCCTCAATATACGGACCCCTGCACCGGCACCCCCCCCATCTCCTATCCTGGATTGGTACTTGGATGTGTCGGTGCTATGCAGCAACTTAATCCATGTCGATCTCGTCTTACCAGCAGTCATTGATAAAAACTCAGTACACTAGTTCCTCGGCAACTGTCTCTAAATTAGGGTCCCTTTTACGGTCCTTTTGTAAGGGTGCCGTACTGTATTGGGGACAAGGGGCCCTAACTTAGAGAACTACCCATATGAAACCTGGCTTCCAGTAGTTACTTGAGACCTGAGACCTCCAGTGCTTGGATTGCCCAAGCTGTGAAAATCGGGTCCTAGCAGCACTGAACATACTGAGCCATAGACCTCGAAGCCCGCAATTTAGATGTACAGTTCTGGGTTTTAGGGTTTGGGGAGTTCTGGGTTTTTGGTTTTGGGTTTGGGGCAAAGCCGATTCCGGTGCCCCGTGCGCAGGACGTTCTCGATGAGACCTTCAAAACTAAGGCCTCTTTGGTGAACATCTCTTGGCGCTTCTTGGGGTCAGGGTAGTACCGCATACATCAACCACCGCACTATTTTCCTTTCTGCAGGAAGGGTAGCAGAAGTTGGTGGCAACGGAAAGCCCAGAATAAAGGCATTGCGTGTTCCCGATTTTACTTCGCAGGACTGTTGTGTCACGAGTCGATGTCTTTGAAAACTCCAACATGATTTTACGTGGGGCAGGCATTGGTATTACAATCGTCCACCATCCCAAACCGGATAAAAGTCTCGGAAACCTTCTCTCGTTACTTGGGCCGGGACGGAGAGCGTCAGAAGATTTTCTTTCCAAGAGTGGGAACTGCTGACCTCGCGGCCCAGCGGTTTATGGCTCAGGGGATTACAGGGGTTGAGGCTTTTGTGAGGAGGGTTCAGTGAGGTTTAGGGTGTAGTAGGGTTAAGGGGGTTTGGGTTTAGTGTAAACATGTGTAAACGAAAGCTGAGATGAACAATTGGGCTTTAGGACGTTGCATTGGAGGAATGTCGCATGGAACGCTGGAAGGAAGTCGAAAAATGCCTCGGCGTACTGCCATGACACAAGGGCTACAAAGCGAAGAAGAAGAAGAATTAACCCCAAAGCCGCGAACCCGGCCTAAACCCTAACTACTCATGCAAGCTCTCCCTAACCCTTAAGCTTTAAGCCCCAAACCGATCCATGTCAGACGAGCCCAGAGGACCCCAGATGCCACACCTGCTTAATTGCCAGTGGCTAGGCACACACATTTACCTGCCCAACTTAGGGCCCTCATAAGCCCTGAAGCCTTACTTCGCTGAGAGCCCAAATCCCGTCTGGCCTATTGATGAGGGATTCAGGCCCTGAACCCCAAAAAAGAACCGCAACTTTAGAGAGGCCCCACACCCTAAACCCCCGAAAGCACTGAACCGGCAGCCAGGTGGTTGGACACAGCCACGGCCTGATCACGGAGGGGCAGCAGCACGGTGATGAGCGTGAGCGGGTCTCCTGGGGCAACATTCCCCTCGATCCTCCTCCGCTGATCGCCTGCCAGAATCTTGGACGGTTCCGGGTTGAGGGGTTGAGGATTGGAAACACCAGAAAAACCGACCCGCTACAGTACACTATGGTGTCTGGCTTAAGGTGTACGGTTTAGGGTTTTAGGCATAGGGTGACGGTCTAAAGCCCTTGCAAGAAGTTGTGTGCCGTAAAAGCCTGAAGGCCGGAGGGACAACGGCTAATACTGTACTACCCCGTTTCAGTTCCTACAGCAGTAGGAGTAGAAGTAGTAGAAGTAGTAGTAGTAGTAGTAGTAGTAGTAGTAGTAGTAGTGGTGATAATCACAAATACCCCAAGACTTTGTTATCGTTTTTTTCGAGTAGGGTGCCAATTTAGAGTGGTGTGATTGCTACACCCTGTAGCTCCAAAGCGGAAGCTTCCATGTGATATACATCGGGCTCAAGCTACCGGAGACTGCAGCTCCCAAAGAATACTGACATATTGGCAGTCTGAACGACCTAGCCCTAGATGGACAGGTTTGTTAGGGTTTCGGGTGGTGTTTTAGGGCTTTGTGGCTTTAGGGTCTAGGGTTTTTGAGGTTAAGGGTTTATTTACAATTTGAAAGCGGTTCTGGGTATCGGATAACCTCTCCTTCCCTACGGAACAGAGCTCAAACCCCAAACTTTACATGTGAAGAGGATCCTCAGCTCGATTCCAGATCCCTTCCAACAGACCAGAACCCTGGTGAATCGACCTTCTCATCCGTTACTTTTGCGAGCGTTGGATCGTTTGCAGACCTTGCCTGGCTTTTGCCGACTCACAAAAACAGAGCCTGAACCCATTTGTACACAGCCCGTTAGGTAGAACCAACAGCCCTAAACCTCAGGCCCTGGACCAAGGGGCAGTGGGTTCGGTTCGGGGGTCCGCAGGTCCTGTAGGAGCGCCTGAGCCCGTTGAAGGCTATGGCGCTGAAAAATCAGCAGCTTCGGTTGAGGGTTTAGGAGGCTTCGCCGAGGACGGCATGCTTGGATTTTTACGCACCCCTGATCAAACTCACTGTGGTTGTCCCTACTTTTATCCTAACTGTAGCCAAACTTGCTACATGCACCTTGATCCTCTAAGTATAGGCCACGTGCTCAGAACCCGCAAAACCCGGCAGAACCGCCAGCCCAGCTGACATCTAAGGAAGGGCTGCAAGGGTTTCAAGGACCTGACGCAGAGGGTACGAAGTTCAGGGGTAGTTATAAGTGGGGTTATAAGTAGGGTACCTGTAGTTACAACCTATGTTAGGGGACTTATAACCATACCTATAACTACCCATGGACCTCCAAGTAGGGTGGGGTGGAGTGCTTTGGTGTTAGCAGGCGATCATTGACATCACCGTCAGCACCTAAACCCCCAAACCCTAAACCAGAGTTTGGCCCCATTTCCCCGGCATATGGCATGGTTAGAGGGCACGTGCCAACCCCACCTTCCCCGGCCCGGCCAAGCCCGCACCAAAAGCATAGCACAATCTACTTCGCACAAATCTAGCTCCGAGCAAGAATCTTATGAGAGAAGCATCCGAATTGCAGCCTTCTTGGGGATAGTTGTAGCCATGAGTCCTGCTTGTTTGTGTTTCTGTGCTCCTCTGCATCATCTGTGCTGGACATGCACGCCTAGGATTTGCGGACGGGACTTTCGGATTTACGTGAAACCATTGATTACTATGCTATTCCTCACGGTTACAAACAGACTACAATGTTCTCCAGACTTTTTCTCAGCGAAAATGCTTCTATGCCAATTATTCAGGGCCCTACCTAGTTTCGAGGTTTCAGAATTTAAGGAAGTCTGAGCCGGCGGCTCTGGGTAGAGTCGGCCTGGTTCCTTGATTTCAAGTCAGGTCACGGGCTTAGGGTTATAAGGTTTAAGTCGCTTCAACAAACTCAGCTGTCCTGGCAGGACACCTCGCCCAACCAGGACAACTTCTCAGTGACGCACTTCAAGAGCGGTTACACCTTGGTTTGCACTTTTGATGGCCATGGCCCGTTCGGTCGCAGCCTCAATATCCCTTCAGTTTCACTTTCGAGCATGATGTGCAGGGAATATCTTCACACTCACTGTTGGATTAGGTAAAGAAGGTATCCGACCATAATAAATCGCGGCTCCCACAAGCTACTGAAGTCATAGGTTTTTTCGAGGTTGTCTAATGGGTGCTCTACCTGACTCATACAACAAGGATCGGAAAAGGGAACCCAATTTCGACAATTAACTCCGAAAGCCTAGGCCCTCTAGTTCTTACGGCCAAAATCTGTAGCATAGACACACGCAGCCGCATAGCACCTAAATCCGGAGCCCTTCAAGCCTATTCCCTAAAGCCATCAGTTCTGAAACCCTAAGCCCTAAACCCTATAGCCCGAAGCCCTGAGCTCTAAGAAAATCCGCATGCCTCCCGGTGGCGAAACTGAGTAAGCTTCCCAGCCAGAAGCCCGGAAACCGCCCAGTCATAAGGAATACGCCTTTTGAGTCATCTCCCGTAGGGCTTCGGGTTTAGATTATGCCCCTTAGAGCTCAGGGTTTACTGTAGGGTATATGTTCCGGAAACCTGAATGTAGGTTATGCCCCTTAGAGCTTAAGGTTTATTGTAGACTATATTACCTGAATTTCGGTTGTACTTATAAGCCCTGCTATGCCTGCTCACTAGGCCCCCTGGAGCCTCGAGACAGGGGTCGGTAAAAGCAGGGATCCTACACTGCAGCGTCTCCGGGGCTTTAGGGAATGGACCTCAAAATCGTACGTTTCCGGAATTCTAGGATCCCTAAACCCTAAGCCCTAAACCCTAACCCTGAAAAAACCCTAACCCTAAGATCCCCCATGATGTCTCAAAGTCTATCATATGATGCTCCAGTGGAATAGCCTTGCTTGGAGAGGCTTTGGCTCCCTCAGGAACCTGGAAGCCTGTTGAAGCCCCTACGGCTGATCATATAAATCCTGCATTACCCATACTAGAAAATATACCATAGTTCCCATAGTTTAGGGCCTTTAAGGTAATGCAGGATTTATATCATCAACAGTATGGATCCCTGATAGAAGCCCGGTGGTCCTTAAGGCTTCCTGTAAGGGTCCCTTCCAGGGTTGGTTTAATATTTAAGGGTCCTTCAAGGTTCAGGGTTTAGGCTTTACAGTTTAGGGCAAGGGTTCCTCTAAGGTAGCTCTACACCCAAAAAGGGTTGTCAACAGACAAGTCAGCTGCGCTTTGAGGTCACATTGTGTCGACTCGTACCGTGCAGACGGTGCCCTGGTCCCTGGGCCATTCTTGGAAACATGCGATTTGTATTTTCGTTTGGCGTGCATACCCGTAAGAAGGAAGAAGCTTGTTTTCCAGCGTAATGTGCATGTTATACATATATATATATATATTATTTAACGTACATATATATATATATAGATATATACATGTGTACCCACGATGATGCTCAAGGATCGGTTGGAGAGACTCCAAGAACTGCCGAGGTTCATGGTGGTGGAGTCCGGATTTGACAAGGACACAATTGACGAGAGTATCATCGAGAAGGCTCCAAGCCTTGGTTTCCGGGCATAGGATTTCGGGTTTGAGGCTTTAAGGTTTAGGGCTGTAGGGTTTTAGGATTTGGGGTTCACGGGTTTCGGTGTTTGGAGCTGGCCTTTTGAGAGTTTAGGATTTAGGGCTTAGTAGCTGGGTAACACCAAAGCTCCCAAACCCTACAATCCTAAGCCTAAGCCGTAAACCGCAAAAATTTGCGAACCCTTGTAGACCCACGTTAAAACTCCGCAAGTTTAGTCCTTCCATAGTTGAAAGAATCACCTCTCTTTATTCCGTGGGTTTGAATGTCTAAACACCTCCAAAGCCCTTGTCGATGTATTCAGTCCCCCCATATCAAAAATCCGAAGTTTCTGTCGGGCTCTGCAATCATTGCTTATGTTGCCTGCTGCCTAATCTGGTCGAATGAACATCCCTAGCCCTGTGTTGGGTCCAATGTGACCAAAACCCTAAACTCTTAACCCCAATCCCTGATGTTTTAACCCAACCGACCTCAATCCACATGGCTCGCCTGGATGGTCGAGCGCGAGCGTCGACACCCTAAACACCGAACCCTTACTCCTCAATGCTGAACACAAACCCGTCACCCGCAAGAGGGACACAGAAGCCTTAAGAAGTATCAACATTATTCCTTAAGGGTTCCTCACGAGCTTTAAACTAGGCCGTCCGGACCCCAATCTAGCTATCAAGGCCCATCATATATTCGTCTGGAAGCTCGTAGCTCGGTATATCATGTCATCCTGTATCACGACATGGCCTAAATATAGCCCCGCACATCAAGATCTTCCTTAGTGAAGCTCAGAGATCTTATGCTGCGAGGTTGAGAAAGCCCATGTATTGCCCTGGTATCCTCAACTGCGCGCTTATGGTATATTTGCACAGTCAAGAATCAGGAGTTTGGTCTGTCAACAGCAGAATTCGCGGGTGCCCACTTTGAGAAACTACCTGAGATTCTGAAGCCACACTGAAGCTAAAGCGGAGATTTCGAGAAGCAAGACATTGTTGGGTGGCTTCAGGTCTTAATGCGTGAACCTGATTAAGCAGCCTCCGGTCTTCACGAATGTAGGGATCTAAATGCTATTTCGGGGGTTCCTTATTATAACTACAGTAGAATGGGCCCCAAAAGCCCCTATATTAGGCCATATTTTGGGGTTAAAGGACCAGGCTTTCACTAGGGTTCACAGCAGCCAACCCATTGGCGAGGCTTTGATCAATGCCTTTGAGAAGGCCACACCCAAGAAATGTCCGGTCGGTTTCGGGCTTTGCGTGCTTCAGAAAACGAGGGGTTCCACCGTAAATTTAGGGTTCAGGGGATGGGTGAGCATGATGTTACCATCGGTGTTTGGCGCTTACATTCTCAAAGTCCCTCAGCCTCAAACTGTGAGGCGCTCAGTATTGGTCATTTCTGTGCAACCGGCCTTTTTGTTAGTGACTGGATCTGTGTCAAAGGACCGAACATTTTAAGACTAATTCTCTACCCACACAGATCTGCAGAATTCTTGAGTTATATGACGAGACAGAGAGAGAGAGAGAGAGAGAGAGAGAGAGAGAGCGAGAGAGAGAGAGGACGTGCAGGTGTCCACTCACGTAGAGGGGAAACATCAACCTTTCTCTGAAAAAAACTGTTATGAATCACTGATATGTTAATTGTTGATGTGTTTACAATCTCTCCTCACAGCCCCATAACAAATGGTGGGCCCATGCGGCCGGGGGATCTCAACAGTCCCCCATGCCCTGTGGAAGAAGAGAGAGAGAGGACCCTGAGCAAAGCAAAGCAATGAGCGAGATGGTCGGCACGTGATGTCCGTACGTCTCTAGCTAGCTACTTGCGTAGCTAGCTACCTATATCTCTATTTAGTTATCTATCGAGCTACCGCTGTTCATTTGCGAAGTTGCTTGTGTATTCGTCTACTACTTTGCTATGACGTTCACTATGGGCGTCCAGAAATGGCCTTCCTTGTGGACTACGATTTTAGGCTGACGGTCTAAGGAGTTTTGGAGGTTTGGTCTTCTTTGCCGAGATTATCGAATAAGGAATTGACGCATCGGCTCTTCAAAAGAATGGTATAATATGATGCGTGTATATATATATATATATATGTGTGTGAGCGTGTATTTATATATATATATATACATATTGATACAATGTAATTTTCCAACACAGGACAAGCTTATACGGGCCTGTCTATATATCTTCCTGAGCAGGACAGGGCTTGGCAGTAGGGTTGACCGGGGCACGGGGTTAGGGTGTTGGGTTTAGGGTTTAGCAACTCAGGGTTTTCTGGAATGGTCTTAGCTTGCAGTTGTGAGCACCGGCTCTGTGAAATTCAGAAGCAACTTTCACATGAGGTTTTACTTAAGCACCAATTACCTGACGAGGTCTATGGAGCCGAGGTAAGGCAACCTGACCCCTGGACCAACCCCAACCTAAGGGAACAGGATTGTAGCTTTCGGGTTTGGGTTTCAGCGCTGCCTTTCTTCTTTTGCTGTTTCCGACCTGCCCCAAAGTCAATTTGACAATTCATGCGAGACTGGATCTCGCGACGACTCGCACTCAACTACACCCATAACTCAACGCCTGAATTGCGACCTTGCGCTCACAATCCTGACCCCCACACACAGAGGGTGAGAGACTCTGAGTTTTGAAACTTGTTTCCACGAGTCAAATCTCTTGAGAGCTTGAATAGTCAAACGAGCACTTACAGTTACTGTGTCGATCGACACCCCAACTGTCACCATGAAATATCACTGTGGATTGTGATGGTTTTTCTTGTCAGCATGACCTTTACCATCCAGCGCCTCAATGTGGTTCCTTTCGCATGGCAGGCTCAGAAGGACGTTGTGGCACACTCGCTCGAGAACGATTGGGACGTTCAAGCCAGTGGAAGTACTGCAGCATGTCCGAACTTGGACCCTAAACCGTGGGATATCAGGCCTTAACCGTGTGCATGAAGCCGACATGGAGGGGTCTTCAGGGATTGAACTTTTCGGCTGCTCACGGCGGTAATGACGACGCTTCTGCATCTTTCTCGCCCGTCCCTGCACCTTAAAGCCCTGTAACACAAGAACTTTCAGCATGAGCCTTAGAGCCAACCCATCAACCCAGAGGTTTGTTCTAAGCAAACCTCCCGGGCATGGGGTGTTCTCAGAAGGGACACCCGGGTTTAGGGTTTAGGCACGGCTCTTCTTTACGGTTGAAGGTAGAGGGTTTCGGCTTTTTGGTTCAAGGTTTAATCGGTTCGAGAATTTGCCGGGATACGAATTGATTTTTCAGGACCAGACGGTTCCATAAACCATGTGCTCTAAGAAACGAATTCTCAATCACAATAAGGAACTTAAAGGAACTCTTTAGAAAGTAAGGTCTGTTGCAACCTGACTCACACAGAAGAAGGGGTGCATGAGGGTTCAGGGTCTGAGAGTGAGACGAAAGGGGGTTCAGATTGAAAGACTTTAGGGGAAGAGCGGTTTAGGGTTTAGGGTTTAGGGGAGCTTTCTGGCTAAGGCATTTTGGAGCTTTCGCCTTGGCATCGACGATTCTTACATCGCTAGACTGACTCGCAAACATTATCAGTGAACATGCCGCCAGACTGCCTGACATCTGTTGCGGCCATAGAAGCGAATGTTCGAGGTTCATTCACGGAGAAACCTAACATAACCTTGATAAGGATTCCCCCATGGGGTCCTCTAAAACCCCACACGTCTGGAGTCCGAAAAACGGTAGGGTCAGAAGCCGGGAGCCTTGCCTGCGTGAGCGAATGCGAGAGTCGAAACCTTAACCCCTGAACCCTTTACCCCAAAAGCATTTAACCCCAAACTCCGTCTCCGTTTCTAAGGCGGTTGCAGCTCTTTTCAAGGGAAACAAAGTGTGGACCGCCAACGCCGGTGACTCTCGCTGCGCCATCGGTACCGAAGCTGTGGTCGGTCCGCAAGAAGTCACGGGTTTACTATGGGGTTTAGGGCTCCGTTGGCAATAAGTTCTTCGGATCTCATAGAGGTTTCTGGGGGCTTCTATTGGGGCCTCATAAGGCTCACTTGATGCCGCAAAGCGGGAAGAGCTAAGATGCATCACGTTGAGATCTGTGAAAGGTGTCGCACCACAAGGCCCCACGTGTCCGGGGCAGTTTCGATAGTTCCAAGAGAATGGCCACTGCACATCAAAGCTGAAGAATCCCGCCGCTTCTCCGGCGAGCCCGAAGTTAAAATCAAGGCGAACCCGGTTCAGGGTTTAGAGTCATGCAGAGGATTTGGAAAAGGAGGATTGGAATTTAAGTGCCCCTTTTTCGGAAGGGGGGCATCCTTGCAAGAAAGATCGTACTACTTTGGGTCTTTGTTGGGGCCGTTCTTGTCTGAAAGGCTCTTCTACTTGGAGGGTCATGGGTAGTTATGAATGGTGTTGTAAGTAGGTTGACTATACTGATAACCCATACTAGGGGACTTATAACCCTACTTGTAACTACCCACCTCCAAGTATGCATTCTTAGGAAGGCGATTGATGCTTGGATCGCTAGCACCCCAACGACCCAAGTCGCACGCTCAGAAGCCGAAACTCCAAACCCATGGTACGATCGAAGCTGAACCTCAAAGTCTTCCAGTGGTTTTGGGCTTAGGGTGTGTGGCCGACTTCCCAGCTATGGTCAGAGCCTGGGTTCAAAAAAGGGTTTAGGATTTAGCCCGAATCCTAAACCCGAAAACCAGAACCCAAAACCGTAACCCTGAGGACCAGAACCCAAAACCCAAACCCTCAGGACAAGAAGGTGGTCTTTGAGACAGAGGACCACAAGCCCCAGAGCGACAAGGCCTGCGCCAACCCTAAATCCGCAGCCCCCGGTACCTTGCGTCCCAGGTGGGATAGCCGAAACGCCTGAAATGGGCTGAGGGTTGAGAGCATACGGACTTCAGGATACAGGTGTGGCTTTTCAGGGTCTAGGGTTTAGAAGCTTTTTCTGCAAAAGCTGTGCCTGATTGAAACAACTAGGCCCCCCCCCAAAACACTGCCACCCAAGAGCCGCTCGCGCCTGGGCATGTACGTACTATAGTAGCACGACCGGAGCAAAGAAACCTTCTAACACCCCTTAAACCTAAACATTAAACCGAAAGGACATAAACAAAGCTACCGGCGCTTGTGGGTTTAGCAGCTTAGCATTTACGGTTTAGGCCATAAAACGACGCACTGTGTGCGAAGGAGAAGGCCCGCATTGAGGCCTCCGGTGGCGAGGTGCGCTCTCAGACGTATCCAGCCGCTTGGTTTAGGGTTTTAGGGTTTAGGGTTTAGGGTTTGCTTGGCTCGGGATGATGTGGCAGGGCTTTGGGTTTGGGTCGGGATTAGGGCATATATAGGTCGGGATGATCTGCCAAGTGCAGGGTTTTGGGTCGGTAGGCTCCGAGTAATCAGGGGCAACCTTGACCCTAACTTATGGACCAAGGGCACGCAAGGATCCTTACTTTCAGAATCCGCGCCCATGTTTGCATAGTCGATGTCAGCATTCATACCGGGCTCAGCGTTTCCTGGTTTCGAGTTCTCGTGACGTGCAAGAGACAGTCCCCCTAGGACAAGCCCTTTTTATGAATTCTTATTACCGGATCCTGACCATAAGATCCGCTGATCGAATTAGATGAGACATTGCAGCGGAACTCTGCAACCCGTCTTCCTAAACCCCACAGCGCTGGCACCCTGTGTCTCTGCGTCCCTAAACCACCAGCCCCAAAGCCTCACAAAGAACGGAAAGCGATGAATGATGAGAGGTTTAGGGTCTTGCATTTAGGGGCTTAGGGTCAGGGGTTTCTACAATACCATCCTTCCCCTTCAACGTCTGCACTAATGAGATTTGGACCACGAGGCTTAACAACATCCATCATAGTTTCTATAACGTAAACCCGAAAACCCTGATTCCTAAACCCAATATCATAGTATGCGGGCTCGTCCTTGCTTTGTAGGAGGGAAAACTACTCTATGAGACCCCCAAGCCCGACTCTAGGGTTTAGGATTTAGGGTTTAGGGTTTAGGGTTTAGGGTTCGGGGAGGGGGTTCGTGGGTTAGGGTTTAGGGTTTAGTTACGAATCAGCTGTTCACTGGGCCGAAGCCGAGGATGGATGGGTGAACCACCGCATCTTCATCAAGGGCAAGGCCTTTGCCTCTGATTTGGGGGTCTCTTAAGGTCGTGAGGTTAGGACAGGGCTCCCTTTTTGGTGGGTTTAGGGTTTTTGCATGTGTCCTTGTCTTTCTTAACAAAGGATTTGCATTAGCCTGAAGACAGATGAGCTTGAAGCGCGTGGTTCTAGGTGGCTTCAAGATTTCATGGCTTTTGATTCTGAGCCTCTCGGGCAGATTCTGATGAAGAACCCCTTAGACTTAGACGCCGACAGGAACAACTAGAACCACAAGGACAGCAGCAGCAACAGCAATAGTCCAGCAGCAGCGCCCCAGCCACCACCATTACCACCACCTCCGCCGGAGCCACCGCCTCCTCCACCTCCACGACCACAGCACAGCAACAACACCTGCCAATAAGAATGACAACTGATAACAACTTCAGTAACAGGAATGGCCATATTAACGAGGGCACCACGCGTCGCAGGACTACCCGGGCTTGTGCATGGCCCGCACGCTCGGGGACCAGTCGGTGAAGGACTACGGTGTCATCGCAACTCCCGAGGTGGGGCTTTCCAAAGCCATGGATGTCCCTCATTTTTAGGGATTTGATCTTGCTTTATGAGAGTGTGAGCATTGATGTACAATTTCTGGGTTCTTGGTTCAATTTACTGGTAACTTCAATTCAAATCAAATCCTCAACAAGGACCCAGAGTATATACCGCACCCAGACTAAATCTCGCCTGAAGCAAGCTGAACAAGCACTACTGATTGGCGTAAACTCCTCCTTCCCTGAAGACAGCGATCTGAGGGTTTGCATGGCGGCTTTATAGTAAACTTATAACAAGGAACCCTAACAATTGATATGGGTAATCAGTTAAACGGCATTGTGTTGGCCTGCACGCTTCTTTTCGTTCTGCACGTGAGCTATATTTCGCTGTTGTCGTTCACATGGAGCCTTTGCGAAAGCGCAATGTCCGAGCAAGGCAAACGTAGCAAGAACGACCAGAATCCGAATACAGGCACTAAGCAGTAGGATCCTTACTGCAGGCACCCTTAACTCCCCTAAACCCTTAACCAGGACTCCTCATTTTAAGAATGCCTTCGTGGTTTCCAAAACCCTGCACTCGAACTCCTGGACCCTGGGTTCGAACTCAAACTCCAACAGTCGAAGCTGTAGCCGTGAACGTTTAGGGTTTTGGTGTTAAGGGATAAGTTAGGTTGTCCCATAGATGCCTGACTTTAAAGCATAAACTTTCCAGCAAGCTTTCGAAATGCAAGCCTTGCGGACAAGAAGGCTTAGTGGCTTTTTGCTTGTTGCAGGTTCTGCTTACGACCGTGGACCTCTCGAAGAAGGCGGACAAACATTGCGGGGCATCGGTTTTGGGCTGTGGGGGGATAGAATATGGGGCTTGCAGGCGCTTGTTGTTCTGTTGTCTTGTGGTGTGCTAGGGGTTCCGTGGACCTTGCGGGCGTTGACTTCCAGTGGTTTTCGCGCCGAGCTGGTGGTCATGGTGGTGGTTGTGGTGGTGTCGGCATTTGTTGCTATGAGCGTGGTTGCCACTACGCCTGCCTTAGGATCGCTACAATGCTTTTGCCGTGGTCTATTCGTGTCGTATCTTGCAACTTGCCGTCTTGTTACCTCACTGGTGACCGACCAAAAGCGTTGTGAGTGTAACATCGCAATCAGAGTTGTCAGTACTGAACCCAAGCATCGTGGTGATTCCTGCCTTCTTCGCTCACACTTTTTCTTTGGCCGGGGAACTCAGCAAGTAGGCGCTCAAGAGATACAGAGATGCTCGCCAAGAGCGCATGCTCCTCTCCGACAAAAACCTAAGCAGGCGTTTTTCATCATCGCCAGCGACGGTCGGGCCCTCGACGAATTTGCTGCGTACATAGTGATGGGGTAGTTGCAGACGTCTACGAGTCTGTTGTGGCTGCAACAAGAGTTAAACACTGCTATAGAACGACAACCCTGAACGCCCAAATCCTTCGCATGAGGGCTTCCATGTACTCACAGTTTCGCCGCCCGGACGCCCGAAATCTGGACGGTGTTTAGGGTTTAGTGCCCTGAACACTAGAGCACTAAATACCGCCCTGCAGCCGGAAACCTTAAACCACCAGAGGCCTCAGCACAACCCCAAAGGAATCCCAGGCCGAATGTATGCGATCATGCCCTCCACGCTTTTGACCATAGACCCTAAACCATGTTGGCCCAGGTGTGTGGGAGTTCTTGGATTCGCAGTTCGTCGTCAAGGCCGTTGCCAAGAAGATCCAATCGGCCGCCCGGTTTAGGGTTTAGGGATGTTTAGGGTATAGGGGCTGGGGTGAGTTTAGCTTTATACGCCTTTTTGCTTAGCGTCACCGCATTCCTTTTTTTTGGGGGGGGGGTCAGAGTTTTAAAGGGTTTTATGGTGCTTGACGGAGTACTCCGTAGACAAGTTTGGACTGGTAGATCAAGTCGCTTCGATGTCAGGCCGCAAGATGAAACTGTCATGGCTTTTGCCCCATTCGAACCCCGACTCCCCCCCTGTCAGCGTACAGCAAAAGCCAAGAAAGCACCCCAAAACACTAAAACTAGACTACAGAGAGCCCCCAGACCTCAGAGAATGCCTGAGAAAATTGACAGAACAAAATCCCTAGACCATACAGTGGGAACGTCTCAGAAAACGTTGACAGACACGAACAGATCCTTAGTAGTTGGGCAGGTAACCTTGAACTTTTCTGGGTTATTATACTCCGTAAGGCTATCCCCTAGGATACTGGACAAGTAAGAATCTCCTAAACCCTAAACACTTTAAATGCGTCGTTCTCGGCAATGCGAGGGCGAAAAAAACTTGTTAAGACCCTAACCCTAGAGAGTCTAAACCCTAAACCCTAAACCCCAGGGCAAAAAAGAACCCTCAACCCTAGACTTTTCTTTGAACCCTAACCCTAAACCCTAAAC